AGAAGACTTAAAGTTCTTTACAAAGTTGGAAAAAGACTAAGTTAGAACGGCTGACATAACTACATTGTTTATCAGTAGAAAAACTCATCTTCTAACCTGTGGGCAAACTGTAAATAAGCAGCGCCACGTTCCCTGACCGTAGCAGTTCCCAAAGCAAATGACAAACGCTAGCAGCAATAGAAATAGAAAATATTTTTTAAACGCCATTACTGTTATTTGTTTATTCCCACATTTTGAGTACGTGCTTCAGCTCAACTTTATATAGGGCAAGCTCCTTTAACGATCATAGCAACCGAAAGGCTTCTATGCCTTCTTGTTGTCAAGGACGCAGTTTTTAGCCACGCGGTAGCAATATTAAGTTTCTGGGTTTATAATGGATAAGTTATTAGTGCCACCATATGACAAATTGACCTCATAATTGCAGGTTACGTTCATCATGATAATTATAAGTTGTGTAAAAGAAATAAAGGTCAAGGTATTTTTTTATCGCCGAATTGTCCTATTGAAGTCGATGTCATGAAAACCCTTTTGTTTACTAAATTTGTCAACTTTTGCCCTTTGCTTTACACGCTTAGCAATTTTCTGCTTCTACAACTATTTCATTCCAGTTTAATGAGCGTCTTTAAAACAAAGCGTACACTGGGATTAATTACGTTTATTTCCATTTTTAAGGTAAAAGTGAAGTCAATAATTCATATTTGCTCTGAAATTCGGCACTGTCCCTAGGAGGAATTTTTAAAACTTTGACCTAAAGTTTTCGCATCAAGAGTCAAGTCTTGCAAGCTTTAAAACTTTCTCCCATCTGCCTGATGTATGGATGGTGTTTTTGAACAGTAATTAATAAAAAACACATGACGCTTTGCTTTTTAATGAAATGACTCAATGAATACTATGGCAGCGGAGAAAATTTACTAAACGAGGCTATCGAAAACAGAATGCGACTATTTGTTAACATGCCTTAACGAAGAGGAATTTTTTGAAATCATTACTTCTAGCAATATAATCATGTAACCATTTGTTCAGCCCCATTCGCAAACTCCCCAAATGTCACGTCGGTTTATAAAACAGTTGGGGTTAACATGTAAAGTCCTTGTTCAACAGCTTCTTTGTTCAATAAACTCAGCGCCCTCGTTATTAATATTCTCTCAATCATTTACCGTTGAACCCGTTCTGAACTGATCTTTAATCTTTCAAACAGCAAAAAAGCTCTTCAGTTATCTTGCAGTAAACTATATTTCAGCGATTCTATATGTTTTTTAAAAAAGCAGACTCTTTTCAAATGGATCAGAGTAGGAATAAAATAACACAGGAATGGCGATTTCGTATTAATTAAAGTTTATGGTTAATTATTCCATATTTACCTGTGATAAAAGGTGTTAATCATTTGTATGCTTTTGAGACACAGTAATGTATATTAATGTATTTTGTACCAAGATTTTCGGGCGCAAATAAAATCCCTAATATATTTTAAAAACAAGATAAAGAAGTAACATAAGACATCTGGAACTTTCAACGGCTTTAGATACTTAACTGAAATATTCCAGTTAAAGCCAATTAACAAGGGAAGCATCAAAACAACAAATGAAAGTAAGCAGAATTAGCAGCATTTTAATATTTACAAAGCAGTTATAGCGTGTCTTAAGACATCGTATTTTTGTCAAGAATAGTTTTAGAGAACCAAAAGATATAATTATGTATTTTTTTAAAAGCTCAAACCCTCTTAAATACTATTTAAAAGGTGTCATAAATGGAGAACATTTTACAAATTTGTTCTTTTAAAGCAGATATACAAGGCTTCCAAACTAAAGTTCTATACTCACAAGGTAAAAGAAAATAACTTACATATAGTTTATGGATCACTCTCTCTCTCTTACAAGTAAATCGTCGATGTTGCAATAATGATATTTCACAAAGGAGAACTCGTAATACTATTTCATTTCACTTTCAATTCTAACAGAAACAGCGATACACATCTCAATCAATAAAACAAAAGAAATGTGAAATTCAACTAAAGCTTGACTTTACGTTATAGAAATACATAACCATTTTCAACGCTGGGGTAACTGCAAGATGCCTGGCGGCTTAATCTGAGGCTCAATACCAATCTAATCGACCTTGTTTTCATGGAATGAGTTGTTACCAGAGAAAGGGGTTGTTATTGTCAGTTGTTGTTGCTTTTTTAAACGCCAAAGAGCTCCTTCTCAGGGCAGTTCTTGAAAATAGAACCCCCAACTAAGATATTATGTTATAAGCAGGTGAAGCAGGAGATAATTAGAGAGCTTTAGATCCGAGGACGCGGACGACTACGAGTAGGAGACTTTCTCAATTATACTAAGTAATACACTGTATTCACAAATGGCGGACACGCGGGAAAAAACTGGTGCCTAGTCATGAAAGCGAGGCGTTGGAGGATAAACAAAAATTGCGAATGAAGACTTTCAGTGAACTCGCAGAGTGTTTAGCACGGATTCCACCTAAAATAACTTTGTACGGACTTCTTTTTAAATACAATTACGTGGGATGTCTTCTGCTTTTAATTTTTTGTAGTGATTTGCTGTTTGCAATCAAAAGGGAAGCGTATATCTTCAAGGAAACACGATGATTTTGTAGGTTTCCGAAGCATCAGAAACTCGACAAGTGGACGGTGGCTGGAGAAAAGCGGCAAACATGTTGGCCCAAACTTCACACTGAAACCGAGTACGAAAGCCAGCTCACGGCAATTCGGTGGAACAGAAATATAAAGAAATCTTAGTGGCAAGAAAAAAAAGAAATAAGCGACAGATATATGGCCTACTTGTTAACGCAAGAGACGTCTGCCGTTGAACAAAACAGTTCAAGTCGAGATGGAAAAAAGGAAGACAGGAAAGAAGAGGTGACTGAGGTTTCGTTGAAGTTATGTTTGGTTTTTGTTTGCCACGACGTTATTCTCTGGTCTTTATCGATGAAGGACATCAATTAGAACTAATTTTTTAGTATTAAAGCAGGAGCGATCGAGAGGAGCACGCTCAAAATTTCAACTCTACTCGGCAGACTCGGTAAGCCGGCCACATATCATTTCAGCGAGTAATTTCGTATTTCTTATCTTTGGCTGTTAAGAGTTTTAACTTTATGTTCCATAATATTTTAAAGTTGAAGAATATATAATTAAATAAAAGGGTGGTCTTCTTAAACGGATCCAGACTCGAATTTAATTATTCGAAACAGAAGCTTGCCGTGTTCAGTCCTGACACAAACATTGCCTTAAAAGTTTAACCTAGTAAAATGTAAGCGTTATACCGCTTTTTTACCAAGAGCTCTCTGAGATAATGCCCCAAGGGAGACCAGGCAAATAGCAAGCCATAAGACTCACACATTACAGCTTCTAATTTTGATAAAATTATTTTTAATTATTTCCCAATGACAAAGAAATCATGAGAGTTTTGCTAAGCTCTGTCAACCTACCTCTAACAATTCACTCCAAAGCGACGGAATTAATATGATCCAAAGGAAGTTGTAAATACAGACATACATATATATATAGATATGTATAAAATGACACTGACATGAATGAAAGAGCCTCGTGAATGAATCTTTCACCCGCTCTCGACTTGACCTGTTTTGCGTGATGGCGGAGGTCCATTCCGTTGACAAGTAGGCCATATATCCGTCGCTTATTTCTCTTTTTCTCGCCACCAATATCTGTTTTTATTTCTGTTTTACAGAATTGTAGTGACCTGGCTTTCGTATTCGGTTTCAGTGTGAAGTTTGGGCTAGCATGTTTGCTGCTTTTCTCCAGCCATCTCCCTGACTTGTCGAGCTTCTGAGGCTTCGGAAACCTACAAAATCATTCTGTTTTCTTGAAGATATACGCGTGCCTTTTGATTGCAAACAGCAAATCACTACTAAACATTAAAAGCAGAAGACATCCCACGTAATTGTGTTTAAAAAGAAGTCTGTACAAAGTTATTTTAGGTGGAATCGGTGCTAAATACTCTGCAAGTTCACTGAAAGTCTTCATTTGCAATTTTTGTTTATCCTCCAACGCCTCGCTTTCATGACTAGGCACCAGTTTTTTCCCGCGTGTCCGCCATTTGTGAATACGGTGTATGCTCGCGCGTTAGCCAGCGTCATTTTGGCGGGAAAACGTGATAGCCGTTGTCATTCTACAACGGGTTTTAGCGAGAATGTCGCAGTGGCGGGAACAAGTTATCACTGTAAGAAGTTTTATCATTTTGTTGTCGGTAGAGGTCTTAACTTCCTTCACTATGAATTACCGTACTAACTGTTTTGGTGAAATAAAAAAAGGTAAAATGAAGCTTTCCAGGGAGTCTTTTTTTTAAATAAGCGCAAACACTTTCATTTAAATTTCGTACTCGTACTCGTTCTCGTTCTGAAATCTAAAGCTCTCTAATAATAGCATAATATTTTATTTCCGTCATACTTCAAGCCCTCCTCCCTCTACTCCCTATTACCAAACTTCAATAGTATCCTCATTCATATTGAGTTACTTTTTTGTTCCATTTTTGTTAATTCTTATTCTTGACGTCGTCACCCAAGCTATTTTAAATTTTTTTGTTGCCGTTGTTTTCTTGTTTATTTATTTGCTTGTTGAGTATTCTATCTTTTAAAATGCGTTTTGCTAATTTCTTGTACACTGCCCTTACTAGATGCTTTAAATAAATTTTAATTTCATGACTCTTTTTAATGTTAAGACTTGACATGTTTTATTTGAGTTACACCAAAACAAATTTACAGTAGATACAATTTGCCTCTTGTCTTGCCCAATCATGAAATAAAATAACTGCCAGAGAACAAAATTCCACATGATTTTCACAGCATATTACTACTACATGACATCGTCAAACTGGTTTCGCTTAGTTTTCAGATATTCTGACAAACGACGCAGCCTGTTTCGTCTGTACTCATTTTTCAATGAGGCAATTTCTGGGCTTTTAGGCAAATAGGCTGGGTTGTCTTCCATTTCCTGAAAAAAAAAATACAAGGACGGAAGTAAGGGGACGGGTACAAATGGAAAATAAGTTTACTGAGATTTAAAGCCAAAAATTTAAAATTCCGTTTTCTACCACACTTAAACTTTTAGCCCTTTAACTTTCACTTCCAGAGTGAATCGAATTAGATTTTTCTGTTTGCATCTACGGATGAAATCCTATAGTAATGTGGTAATTAAAATGAAACCATTTCAGCAGTATTTTTAATCGCACTAGAACCAAATGTGAGAATTGTGTCGAATCTCCACTTAGGCTGACTCCAGTGCTAACGCAGCCTGATTAAACACTGGCCCTAAAGATCAAGAAGAGAAGAAGAAAATTCAAAATCTGGCACCTACCTCTTTCTTGCAGCCGCCAAAAAGACAGCTGTAATGCCTCTGACCAAGAGCGCTTGGAAATTTCAGCAACATCACAGAGACAGCAAAAAGCACTAATACTTTCATAGCGGATGGTCTGGTAATCTTTGCCTGACTACTGAGAACTTAACTTCGAGTTCGTAAATTCTACCACTAATAAATTTTAGCTCGTTATAAGAGAGACACGGTTTTATATAATTATCTTAAATTAAGCGTAACAAATAATCTTCAAAAAGCTAATGGTTTACTTTAAAAAAAAGAAGCGGCACTTTTCTCTTTTGACTACACTTCGACGTGTCCATTACTCCTTTAATACTACCGAGGGGTTTTTGCGCCAAGCTTTTTTTTAGACAAAATATGATGTCTTGCTGTGTTGATTAAGATTAAATTGTTTAAAACAAGTGTGTAAAATAGTATTTCAAAAAAGTAAACTCTATCCATTACACTTGAGCACGACTAATAAGATTTGAAATGGTAAAAAGCACCTAATTACGATCAAAAGACGTCATCAGCATTTAATGTTTTCATGCTTTTATCACAGGATTAACCATCAAAGAGTTTAGCCTGGCTGCATCGAGAATGATTATGGCGTGAATCATGGCCCTTTTTCATCAAAAACAAATGACGTTTTCAAAAGGTTTAAAAACGTAAATTGTTAGCGCCAGATAGATAAATACTGGTGGAAATGACAGGCTGGTTTTTATTACTATTTGATGTTCCATTTAAATAGAGAACATGCTGACACATTTAACAAATTAATAATGTGGTGTCCAGCTATTTTAAAATTAAGAGAAATTTATCTAAATGTTGATAATTATTAGTCAGACCTATATTTTTTTAACTAATGACAAAATTGTGATCAAAACATGCATCTCCAGCTTGCCAGAAACTTCGTGTTGAAGTTTAATTACTTATAAATGTATTTCGAAATAGTTTTGTACCGCCTTTGTTATAATTAAGGTGACTTTATCATACAATACGTACTTGTTTATTTCTTACTCTCGCAGGTAAAAATTTTGCGACAACTCAGACTGGTTGGGTCTGTCGCATGAAGCAATAAAAGCAGAAACGAAAGAAGCTTAAATTATTTCTTAAAGTTCAGTGTCTGATTAATATGTAGAAAATAGGAAATTTCATAAAAGAAATTTACCATGTTTCTATTGCAGGGCCATTCTAATGCGGAAAATAAAACGATTAATAGGGAGCTCATAAGCACCGCAACGGTTACAAAAAGGCAGTTGAAAAGCGAGTCGGCGCTGCTTTAAACTTTATCGCGCTTATTTTCTCCCATAAAATTCGTCAAATGTTGGCGAAATTTTCTGGCGTTGAAGTCTAAACTGTATTAAAGTTCAAAAAAAAGAAAAACAGGGTCGTTGTTTTGTGTTCATGCCCTCCTCAAAACGTGAAATTAGGCAGTTTCACGTCTTAGTTGTGCAACGGCGGCAAAGAAATGTACAAAAAAGCATCATGCACATGCAAAGTTGTTGTTTTACCAATCTAAACCTGATTGCTTTTTTCCTGATCCCGTTGCCGTCGCCGTCGTCGTTGCTTATAAATGAGACGCGAACTTCCTGTACAAATAGAACAAAAAAATGTCTTCGCGTCTTGAATAAGACGCAGCTGATAGGCTCATTATGGCGGTTCGCGTCTCATTCAAGATGAGCCTGATTTGG